TTTCAGAAACTGGGAGTCTGAGAAGTGTTGGCAAGTGGAGGTATCATCCAAAGGAAGAGAGAAGCTTGAGTGGACATTAATTCACAGGAAGGGAGGGATGGTGTGTGTGTGTGTAGGAGAGGGCATAACCAAGATTAAAGACTGCAGGGAAGGATACAGTGGTAAGATGGTCAGAGACTGGCTGAAGTGGAAAAGAAAAAGGGAGAGGGAGAGAGAGGAAAGTTAAATGATGCTGCAATCCTCCTGTATACAATCCTCCTATATGCAGATAACTTTAATGTCATTTAATGTTGACTGTCTTCTGTTGTCTTGGAAACAATATCAACACAGACCATTTTTATTTAAATAACTTCTGGAAGCTGCACTTGAACTCTGACCTAGCAGTCCAGAGACTAGTATTTTAGCCCCAATTCTAACACTCATCAGGGCCATGCCACCCTGAATGCGCTCGATCTTGTCTAACTAACACTGGCTTTACTCTTGAACCCTCAGTTTCCTTATTTATAAAATGGTACAGTCAGAACTCCCTTAAAGGACTGTTATGAGGATTAAGTAAAAAATAACGTGATTGTTTTACAAACTGTAAGTGTAAACTTAATGCAACTTATGCCAATGTTATTTAAAACCACAAGATTCAAATAATAGCCCTGGTACTGTCACCGTGATGATGTGATTGCCCCAGCCATCGGGCATGGTGTGCCTCAGTCTCTCTACCAATAAAGTCATAGAACAGGATCATAGACCTCTCTGGCATGCATTGTGTGAGGATTAACGATATAAGGAGAGTAAAATTATTTTAAATGCTTAGAAAAAAAGATGCTACATGGATGTAAATGTAAATGTAACGGTAACGAGCACTTTTTTTCCAAAGTGTTTTTAATATTCTTTGAGCTTTGTAGAGCATAAGATGGTTATAAAATAACATTCATTTGTTTAATTTTTTGGTATTAATATTTTATCATTTCCTTTTGGATAAAGAAATGTATGCAAAGGAAATTAAATCTCCTAAACAGATTAATGACAGAATCAGAAGTGGTTTTGGGTTTTTTTTTCTTTTTTCTAACAGTCTGTTTTAGTCTTCTCATTTTTATTACTCTAGCAACCACTTTGCTAAGGAATTAAGCTACAAGAAAACTATTGGAAAATTATTTTGTCACTGTGTTTTATGCTATATGACCACAGGGGAAAGGCTGGCAGCAAAAATGACCAAAAAATTATAGCGTGTTTACTAACAGCAGCTGCCAAACTATTTCCTGTAGTTACAGATGCCGTGGTGAGACCTCCAGCTGTAGCAGTTCAATGTTCCTGTCATTTACCATCGTTAAAATATTGTTCGAAAAAATCATTATGAAGTAACTACTCCTGATACCAATAATTTATGTGACCTTGAGTTCATCATTTCACCTTTTGGGACTTGTGAGTCCCTAACTTTTATTTATTTATTTGTTTATTTTGGATTTGAACTTTATTTTTCTTTTTATGCAGAAAAAAATCATTTTTATTTTATTGGTGGTACATTTTATTTTATTCATGGGGTACAAAGCTGACTGTCACCACTTGTGCCCAAGATATGATGGCCAGATCAATACTATCAGCATGCCCATTACCACAAATTGGGGTTATTTCCCGTGTCCACCACCCAGTTAATCCCCGACCTCCCTCCTCCCGTTCCCCCACCCCACCCTGCAACCCTAGGTCTGCTCTCTCCCTCTGCAAATCCAACTCACCACTGTGGTCTTTCTTTCCTTCTTTCTCTCTTAGCTCCCACTTATGAGTGAGGACTTAACGGTGTTTTTCCTTCTGTGCCTGGCTTACTTCACTCAACATAATTTTCTCCAAGTTCATCCATGTTACTGCCAAAGGGGTCTCTGTGATCCTAACGGGGAGATACTGCCCTCCGGGGGCATTTGTAAATGTGTAGAGTGTGTTAAAGGTCAGGGTCCTACAATGTTAAGTGCCCTGCAGAGGGCGGTCTTGCAAAATGAAGAATCGTCTCACCCAAATGCCAGTAGCAAACTTGATTATCTCTCAGTCCATTCATTAATCCACTCAGCCACCAATTATTGAGTCCCCACTGTATGCTGAGCACCAAGCTTCCCTGACTCAGATGTCCCAAAAACCCTGGCTTGATTATATCTTTATTTCCATTCTCTTCTTCTAAAAGTCTTCCCTTACCCACAGGACCTCCTGACACTTACAAAGGATTTTTCAACTGAAACCATTAAGGGAATAGATCCCAGGACTCATCAAGTGCTTTGGGGTTTTTAATGACACTGAGAACCAAAGAGGCTCACTTCATCCTTTCCCAAAAATTGGGTGATGGCCTAGTTTGCCCTTGATAATTCAGGAATGGAGGCCTTCAGCTCCACTGACCCAGGGCTTCCAGCCAGATCATGAAATTCCAATTGTGGAACATGTGGCTAAATATTTCAACTTGATTCAATCATTTTTAATTTTAAAAACAAAACATCAACTGTTTTATGCCCAGTGAACACTTTTCACTGAAAAACTGAAATTTCCTAATATTCTTAAATGGCATCTGAGGCCAATTGTAAAGCCTGCCTTAGAACATATTACCACATCAAGTAGGATCATTAACTTACATTGCTAATTAACTGTTCAGAGACCAACTGTGTGCTGTAGCATAATCCTACCTGCCACCACCCCCTACACATAGCTACAGGAGTGCTGTGACCTCCAGGCTTAGCCCCCAGCCATCACAGTGCTACTTAGCATTCACATGGTCCTTCCTCACCTCATCATCTCATGGCAACCCTAGGGACAGCTTACTATTCTGAGCACTTGTTTCATTTTGCAAAGAAGACTCATGCACAGAGAAGCACCAGGCTCTGCGTAGGTCCCAAAAAGCTTTGGGAATAGAGGGAATTTTTTAAAAAATTTTATTGGTTATGCATATGCACCGGGTACAAAGCTGACCATTACCACTTGTGCCCAAGATGTAATGGTGAGATCAATACTATCAGCATCCCCATTACCTCAAATTGTGATTTTATTCCCTGTGTTCCACACCCAATTAATCCCCGGCATCCTTTCCCTTCCCCCCAATCCCACTCCACAACTCTAGGTATGCTCTCTCTGTTGGAGGGAACTCTGAGTGCTGTTTACAGTGCCAACAAGCCACTCTGACTCTAACATTCAAGGGTTCTTTGAGAATACACAAACCTTTTTCAGGCTTTAATGAATCTTGGAAACTCCATTCTGATGTTTCTGATCATTAAAAATCTTTGTATGTATTTGTTCAGTAACTATTACTGGATACTTCTCAGTGTTCTGGGTGATGGAAATAGAGTCCTGCCCTCATGGACATCCAGATGAGTGGGGAAATCAGACATTATGCCAATAAGTCCATATTAATTAGGTACTATTGCAATTGACACTACAAAGGAAAAGTACAGGGCCTGACCTAGCCTGGGGATCCAAGAGGCTTTCTTGAGAAGACAACATATAAGTGAAGGAAAGGGAGACAGGAAGTTCAAGAATTAGAATAGAGCATTCCAGAAGGAGGAGGATGCATGAGTGCAGGCCCTGAGGCAGGAAGGAAGGATTTGTTCCAGGTAGGAGATGATGCTAGCTCAGTCTAGGTGGCAGAAGTGGGAGAGGTATTTAGAAGACAGAATTGACAGAACTTGGTAAGAAGAATTTAGAAGATGAGATTTGAGAGATATTTAGAAGATATTTTAGTGACATTTAGAAGATGGAATTGACAGAACTTTGTGATCATTAGGATGTAGACAGTGAGAGTGAAGGAGTATTAGGGATCACTGTCTTATACTGGCTGCTGGGAGGTAGGGGCTACTTATTTAGGATTCTGTATTGGGCAATGGGACAAATCACGAGTTTCTCATTTGGTACATGGAGTTCAAAGTCCCAGGGGACATTAATTTGTCTAATGAAGATGCTACTTTGGGAAGCATATCCAGGGGTCTTACCAGGGTGTAATAGAGACTGAACCAACTTATATGGTTATAAACCAGCATTGAGGGCCTCATAATTTACAAAATACTTTTATATGTATTATCTCTGAGCTTCACACTAATCTTTTGGAAAAGCAGTGGGGTTGTTATATTTATTCTGCTAACAAGAAATTGATGCTTCCTGAGTTTGTGATTTGCCCAAGGTCACACAGCTATAAGTAAGGATCTAGTTCTCAAATTCAGGTCTTCTGGCTCCTGGCACAGGGATCTTCACCACATTATCTCTTTACCTGATTGGGGCAAACTCCCCACCAATTCTTGGAGATTCCATGTCAGATGGAATTTCACTATTCATGCAAAATATATAAAAAATGAAAACAAAGATAATTTTTCTATATTCTGTTCAACCTTCTTTTTTAAACTCCTTTTTTTACAGTAGTATTTTTAAAGTATTTGTAAACTTTGAGACTAATATTTGTATTTGTATTAGAGCAATGTTTTTCTTTTAAGAGTGAGATGGCAAGGACAGCTTAAGTAACTTTTACTGATAGTGGGGAGACAGTTGTCTGGGAGAAATTAGATTCAACTTTTACCTAAATTCTAATAATTTAGAATTATTCTTCTAAATTATTCAGGTGAGGCACCCTCCCTTCCCATGTCCAGATCTAGTCCTAAAGTATTGGGATGATCTAACATGGCTTGGCATATTCTCCCCATGCCTCAGGTTTTCCCATGGAGCTTGCCATGTCTCTGAAGAAGATGGGAGGCTGAAGAGCCCCAAACACAGTAGGGGCAGGAGAACCTTTACCACCAGCCTGTCTTATTGAGTTACCTTCTCCCCTTTCCCTCAAGGCTTCAGGGATGTTAACAATTAAGTGAGAAAATAAAGTTAACTTGCATTTATTTCAGAGTCTGTCTTAACTGCATCAGTTCTGGGTCTACATAAAAACTCAGGTTCAGGAGAAATACATGACTCTTTGAATGGAGCTAAATTACTTTTCTCTATTACATGAAAAGCTTCCCCCTGAACCTTCTGTTGTTCTTTACCTTCTGCCCTCCCGATAGCTCCTGGACTGTTTTGTGATCCCAGTTGTGATTTTGCTCTCCTGGTTCTTCCTGCTGATCCGGTACAAGGCTGTGCATTTCATCGGCATTGTTGTCTGCATCCTGGGAATGGGCTGCATGGCAGGAGCGGATGTGCTCGTGGGAAGGCATCAGGGAGCAGGTGAGTCTTCAGGTGTTCACCAGGTAACTTACCTCTGTGGGGAAGGCCAAGTTAAGAAATGGAATATTCATGGTTGGGTGGAAACAAGGACCTTAAGAATCTGATCTTCCCAGTGTTTGTGTCCTATACATGTTAATTTCCTGTACCTAAAACTGGCACATAGGAGGTGCTTAATACATGTTTCCCGAATTAATGAAGGATGAAAAATGCAGCCTGTATGACCTTTCTACATGAATTCAGGAACATTCAGACAGTGTTTGAAACTGAGTCAGCACCTACCTGGAGGATGTTTTGGAGGCCAGAGCTGCCTGGCCCAGACATGTTGATTAGAGGTGGCGGCAATGAGTCAATTCACTCCTGAACTATAAGGACCTTCCCTACGCTTCCTCACCCCAACCATGTCTCTGCAAAGCCCAAGAAAGACAGATCTTTCAAACTACTGCGTAAAGGTTGACTTATAGGCCTAAAAGTAGACATTTAAAGTTTTCAGAATAGATTAGAAGTGCTCAGAATTTTTATGAGGGGGAGCTAAGTTTGCTCTTCTTATGCATTGCTTTTGGTTTGTTTATTTGTTTTGTGGGGAGGGGTTATTGGTATCAATCATAGCTTATAGACCCATAAGGTAAAGCTTCATAATTAACTCATGAAATTGCTATGAATCTGCAGAGGGCATCCTGATCCTAAGTGATTTGAAGCATTGCATTTCTTTGAAATGTACCCAAATCATTGTGCTTTTGGAACAGAATAAAATGACCACCTTTGCTAGCATCAAGAATGGGGTAGAAAGTACCCACTTTTCTATAGTTCTTGGAATTGCCCTTTCTTCTAGGAAATTAGATGATTAAAAAGTCAAAACTGGGCATTTCTCTTTATGTAACTAGGTCATATGAAATCTCTGAAATGATGTCATTTGTGTTGCACATAGAACTTTATGCTGAAAGGGAACTTATTCAGCACCTTTATGTTTGACATACGAGAACACCAAGATCCAGGGAAGCCAAGTGAGTTACCCAGGGTCACAGAGCTGACAGAGCAGGGACTGAATCCCAGGGCTCCTGGCCTCCGGGGCAGGCCTACTTCCCTCTCCTGTGTTGCTGAGAGCTGAAGATATGACACAGAGCAAAAGAACGACAGTCTCATCCTCACACACCTGCAGCCTGCACAGCATTATCAGTCCCCACCTCAACAAACAGACTGAAAATACATACCCCAGTGTTTCCCAAATTCTCTTCTATGTAACACTAGTTCCATGGCACATCAATAGACATCATATGAAAGGGCCAATTTTATGCTCTATACACATAGTGATCATGATATGGATAATCTCTTTGGACAAATCAGATGGTATTTTTGCCTAACACGATGTGCCCAGTTATTCTAAAATCACGATTTGATTATGCTTTCTCAGCTTTCCATGCACGATGTAAACACAGACTAGGCAGAAGCACATACGACTGATTAGGAAAAGTCTAACTTGCTGCATCCCCATCATCTTGCCTTCCAAAGTTAAGGAAGACAATTGTCCTGATAAATCTTAACATTTAAGCCTACAATATTAAGCTCGAATTGATTTCGCTAGATTGTATTCACTAATCCTGCAAAAAAAATGCTTTCTTGATTTCAAATGAAGTGTTAACAAAGGAGTAGAACTATTTAAGAAAAAGAGAGTAAGTCCATATGAGGGCCTTTCCAGAGTGGTCACTTTTAAAAAATGGTGTAGATGTGGCTAAAACATATGGAGTGCTATTTTATCTGTCCGTGTAAATCTGTTTAAGGTCCACAGCACCACTGGTTTTGTGACATATGAAACACCAGTGTTAACAGAGTTAAACTTTACCATTGAGGAGTACCTTCTGTGCTGTTGAAATGATGCCCAAGCACACGGCATGATGTTTGAAGGCCAGCCCAGATATAGGATCCAAGGGCTTATTTTACAAAATCATGACTGGATGTGCTGTACCTTTATAAAAATGTTAAATAAGGTGCAATTTAAGCTATCATATAAAATTCTTTAAAAAAGAAAACAACACGTTGCCTTTGAGGTCAATGTAATCCTAAAACTGATGTGTATCATTATGAAAAATATTCCATTTTTTTTCCCCTTTATGGTAGAGTTGGTTCAATTGCATTAATTAACCAGAGACATAAAACTTTTCTAAAATACTTCAAACATTCACCAGAATTAGGAATTCAATGTCATATAATCATCATCATGAAAAGAGCTTTCCACAGGAAAAGAGAGCATCTGACTTGATCCCTTTTACATTGTTTAATCCATGTTTCACCTTCGCTTAGGATTTTGACAATTCTGGCCCCAAGCACATTGATTTTGACCTATTCAAATTTACTTTGACCTCATTACAGTTAAAATCATTGCCTTAATTTTACCTTGTTAGCATGTTTCTTCATCTGATATCCAGGAATTCCTCATTTTGATTTAAGCCTTGCTGAAGGAAACTTCTCAGAAGGCATCAAGCACTCCAGATGCAAAATGTAAATGTCAGGACACAGAATGATGTGCTAGGAATAATCTCACAATGAAGCTTGACCAGCAAGTTCACCCACTGTTGACAGAGCTGGAGAGGAGGTGTCCCAGTCCATGGCATGGCAGAGTTTGGCTTGGAGCCTGTGGAGTGGTGTCCACAGTGGGAAGGACACAAACAACACTATGTTCTAATTCTGCATGTGTCATGATACAACTGAGCATCCACTATAGGAAGCTTCCATGCCTTTGAGCTCACTTCAAAGGAAATGTCTTTTCCACACTTGTCAGTAGAGATCGGTGGGCCTAATAAGCGCATTCTCTCTCGGCCACCTCAACTCCATGTCAGCGTTACAGGCCTCCTGTGGGAGACCATCTCTGCATTTACTGATGCGTGGGGGGAATGACATTTGATAAAAGTGGATCCTGAGAATATTACAGATGTTGGAGTGCATAAAAATGACTTAGTAAGGCCTGAGAGATACATCTCCATGACTCTTCTACTTTCCGGGGGAAATTTATAGAGATTAAAGGGAAGTTTAGAAAGCAATAGGATTAAGATAAAACTCAATTAAAATAGCTCCTTTTTGCAAAGTATATTTCTTGCCCTTCAAAATATCCTCTTTCTACCATAATATTTTGCATCTTACAGTTCATTTATTAAAAATGTTAGATATCCATACAACAATTTGTTATTATTAGACATAATTTTATTTTTATTTCAAGGAAAAGAAAATATTTTTGAAGAGCCAGATAATTTAATACAGTCAAGTAAAAGTGACATTTTTATTGAGCACCCACTGGTGCCAGGCACTTTCTCATACATTATCTCATTTAATCCTCCCAACTGTACAAAGAACTTTATTCTCATTTTTGCAGCTGAAGAAATCAAGTCTCAGAGAAGTTAAGAAACTTCTGTAACGGCACATAATTACTAACTTGTGTGGCCCAGATGTGAATTTTAGCCAGTTTTCTTTCTACTATACCACTTAGTACTTACTTTTCTGTATTTGTGATTTCTATAAGAAATGTACAGTTGTTTTATCATAGTAAATTAGGGTAAATCCGGAACAGAGGGGTTTCCCTAGATGCAAGACTTTTAAAAGTACTAAAACCGAGAGATTCCCAAGAAAATAAGAGTTGGTCTCCCTATTTTCGACTTAAATGTCGAAATGGGATGTGTACATTTTCACCGTTGCACTAATAGTCTTTCAACACTTCAGAATAGTATAACTCAACATTTATTTCTTTTTTTTTTTCCTTTTTGTCTTTTTTTTTTTTACTGACCGGTAACGGGATCGCAACCCTCGGTGTCGCGCCTGTACCGGGGACCGGCAACGGGATCGCAACCCTCGGTGTTGCGCCCGCTCCGTGCTCAACCAGTGAGCAGACCGGTCTCTATATTGGATCCGAACCCTCGGCAGGAGCACCGCCATGCTCCCAAGCGCTGCACTCTACTGAGTGCGCCACCGGGCAGGCACCAGCATTTATTTCTTGACCTAGTTGTAAGTAGTGATTTTAAATAACCTTCCCTCTTCTCCTCCCACCACCACACGTACACAAATATTCCTCCAAACTGATGCTTCTGTACTTAAACGAAAACCTAATAAGGAAAATAAATTCTTGCAAAGCAATTATGACTGTGTTGATTAGAATCAGAGAGCAATCCAAAATGAGAAATGCCCAACCCAAAGAGACAAGTGGTTATTCAAACAGAATGATTGATTCACTCTTTTTAATGACAATTTAACAAATATTTAATAAGTGTCGGATACTATGCTAAGCATTTCACATGTATTAATTTATTTTATTCTGACAATAACCCCATTTTAAGACAAGGAAACTGAAGTACAGACTCTATAGCTTGCCCAGTGCTACACAGCTGGTAAGTGGCAGAGATATGATTCTATCCAACTCTACTTGAATTGAAAGCTGTTGCCATTCAAAACCTTTACCATAGGATGAATTAAAACCTTTCAGTCAGTTCAATTAATTTAGACATTGAGAACTTACAGTCTTTCAGGATCCACGCTAGGGACCACACAGAGTATAAAGCTGAATAAGTCACAGTCTGTGCCCTTCAACCCCACTTTATAAGAGAACAGGTAGAAGTAAGGGTAAGACACATAAGTTACAAGTAACAGACATGGAGTGGAATACAGTGGGTGCCACAGACACCCACTTATGGTGTGAAGTTAAGAAGAGGGAGAAGAGTATCAGGTTGGATGGACATTTTATTATTTCAAATGTGTCTATTTATCAAAAATTTGCAAAACATCATTGCCCATCGTCGTTTCATACACACATAAATGACAGATTTTCTGAGCAAAATTTTCCCCATGATCATTGTACAAAAAAACTAGCACCACCCTACTGCATTAACAGTGCATAAAATACAAAGTAATATATTGTAATTTCCAGGTAACTAGATACAAATTTTACATACAAAATATTAGGTGTAGTACTTTCTTATACTTCTTTTATCAAACACTTCATTATATAATATGGTTGGGTAAAATCATGTTCTGGTCAGTTTAATTGTATTTAATCAACTAAATTTTCATATATGAATCCACTTTCAAAAGATTTAAAAACTGAAAATTATAATTACCAGTGAAATTATAATAATATTTAATCTTTTTGTCACTGATAACAGAAAATCCTTCTGAACTTGTGATTACACAGAATTATTGTTGGTAATTATCACTGAACTGGTGAAGACTCAAAGTACTAGTGTGTAGATTTCTTATAGTAAAGGCTAGTTAACAAAATGGGCAATAACTATACAAATGGGGAGTTTGAAAAACATTGGTGAGACTATTCACTGAAACAGTGTATCTTCTTTTTGGACTTTTAAAAGATAGATTTGATGTTCCTCTAATTTCTATTAAAATATTTCAATATGATTTAACTTTCCTAAATTCATCCATGTAAAATTAATTTTATTAACCAAGAACTCTATTAAGCTGCACTTCCACACTTCACTGTACAGCAATAATTGATATTCATAATAAGGACTCTATGTCATCACAAGATTCTGAAATGTCTCCTGAATGTAGAGACTGAATCATGCTCATTTTAATTTTATATTTTACTTATAGATATGTTTTATCTTATGGGTCATTCCTCAAATGAACTACTTAAAATTAAAAGTTTGTCATTATCTTATAGTTGACACATAAAAAAGATTAATCAGATTGCTGAAGATTTCACATTCTGTCACAGCAGCCTGAATTTCCCTAGAACATGTGCCAAGGGACCTCCTAGCAGGTCGGGTTTCTCATCAGGGCCTCATCAAGCTCTGTCGCATCTGCTGAACAGTGATGGCTGATGCCCTACAAACCCAGGGAGAGCTTCAAGCCCTTCCAGAGTCACCTTCTCAGCTCCATTCCCTTGAGGGTGACTCCAGCAAACTGCTGCCTTTCAGGGTCTCTTCTCCTCTCTCTCTGATCCTTACCAGGGTGGCAAGTTGCCTTAGAAAAGCTGGCACCATTTAAAGTAGAGATATAATCTTCCAAGGTGACCACATGCAGAGGTCTTCTCCAAGCCCTGCCCAGTTTCTTTCATGTGAAGCCACTACCTAGAGAATGCATGCTCAGTGCTTCCAACTGAACAGTGAGAACCCAGTTCTACAGTTGTAGATTGTTCCAACTAATCTGGGAATCCAAGGCTAATCTAAGGTGAGTCCCTTCCTTAGAATCATAATGGAGTCCCTTCCCATCCCGCGCCTCTGCTACCCCAGAGCTGCGTGTCTGCTGAGCTCCTGGGCCACTGACTTGCCCAGGGCAGAGCAGAGACCACTTGGGTCCAGAGCCCATCAGTTAGGCTGTACCACCTCCTCATTTCCACTCTTCTCCTTCCCTGGCTCTGCACTTACTGGAGTAAGAAGAGTTTGCCTAATTATAGAAAATACCTGGGTAAAGCATTTATTAAAAATTGGACATAAACCAAAACCAACCAAAATTGAATTCAAGACAAATAGACACTTTTAATGAAAAAAGGAAAATATTAATATGATATTGAATTACATATATTTCCCCTCCTATGTTACTTACTTCAGAGTAGTTGGAAATTTCAACCTGTAATTCCTTTCACTCATTTCTAAGCAAGTATGCATTTTGCCCATGGTCAAAATAGCGTTCTGACTGCTTCTGTTATAGCTTCTCTCCCTGTGTAGCAAGGGTGGAAATTCACAGTGATTCTCTTTGTTCTACACCATGTTCACTACACCATGGAAACTAAAGGAAATGAGCAAAGTGTCCTGAGGCAAAAATAACACGTGCATGTATTTAGCATATGTTTATGAACACATACCTGGACAGAAGACATTGGGCTTGGTTGAGTGGGTGTTTTCTGCAAGAAACTGGTCTCTTTCTTAGTTAGGGAAGACTTCTGCTTGAGTTGACTTAGGCAACCTTCCTATATCAGAACATGTCCAGAGCACAGATAAACAAACTTTACTAAATCCCAGTTGGAAATTGAAGGACTTGTGTAAAATGTCAGAATAAAATGGCAAAGGAAGTTCAATTTACTGGTCCAGATTCTTATTAAGAAAATTTTAATTAAGTTCCCTCTGCTTTTTTGGCTCCTAGGGGAAAATAAGCTGGTAGGAGATCTTCTGGTCTTAGGAGGAGCCACACTCTATGGCATCTCTAACGTCTGGGAAGAATACATCATCCGAACACTGAGCCGAGTGGAATTCCTGGGAATGATTGGTCTCTTCGGTGCATTTTTCAGTGGAATCCAATTGTGAGTAAAAGTGACAAGGAAGGCATAGAGACGACACTATCAGGACTTAGACTTATGATTTTTGTCCTGAGGTATGAAAATCAAAGCTGGAAACCAGTCACTAATTTCCCACACAGAGGTTTCATAAAATCTATAAACTCAATATCTTTATGAGTTAATTTCTTCCAAATTACATAAGTTTATTATAAATTGCTATACAACATTTAATGGACTTTGAAGATAATTTGCATGAAAGCATCAGAAGTACATTGATTCTCCAAGCCAGTGGGTGGGTTATTACTCAGAGAAGCAGAAAAACTAAGTATAAGTGTCACGATTCAATGCACTTCCAAGAAAGGACATTCTGTTTACTAGTGACAACTGCTGTTAGGAAACTTATCATTTAAAATTGCCCTTTTATAAATTTGTTCTTTTATTGCTTATGGATTTGCAAGAGTGAACTATATTTCAAATTTATCTCTTAGAATTTATCATTTCCGTTTTCCTTAGAAAGGTATAGATATAACCCAGACATTCACTAAGCATCAAAAAGTCAAAAGCACCAGTTTTGCAATAATTCCAGAATTGGAGCATAGAAGTCACCACTGACTAGTGCCTCAGAATTTGTTGTGAGAATCAGTGTAATAATTTTCCATCAGTAAAGACCATATATTTGAGCTTCATGTAAGGAATAAAGAATGATAGTATAACCTCTGGTCTAATTTCACCAAATCCCTTTCTACCAACAAGTAATTCTGATTTCACCAAATCCCTTTCTACAAAGCAAGTACTTTGTAATTGTGTAGGTTCAGTGTCTAAAATTATTTATGGAAGATAATTTGTCATCACTGGAAACATGTTTTGCAAATAGGCTCTTTACGACAATGCTCCAAATTTCAGTGTTCTGATGTTCTAGTGAAACACTCCATAGCAAACAAGGCACAGAGATGGGAAGACTCTCTGAGAAGGATTTTATTTTGGGTTCATTCTGAAATGACGATGGCATTTTAAAGCTGCCAAATCTGGTGCTTCAGCTTTGTGAGAGAAAAAGGGATTGCCTAGTTCAACTATTCACAGCCAGTATTTTGTGGATGGATGGGCTCATTTTATGGATTATTATTCTTGAGTCCGAAAAATATATTCAGAGATTTAGTGCTTATTTGCCTCAGTTAGAGCTGACTGAGCCCTTTGGGGGACACCGCTGCCAAAATAATGAATGTGGCATTAGGGTGTGTTTGGCAAATGGGGTACCTTGGGGGTGCACTGGAACCAAAGTAACACTGGTGGAATAGAGCCAGCCTTGCCTCCTGGTCCTCTTTGAGAACAGTAGTTCTCAAAGTGTGGTCCTTGAACCAGCAGCACTGGCATCACATGAGTACATGACAAAAATTCACATCCATGGGCCCCACCTGGATTTACTGAATCAGAATCTCTAGGGATGGGACCCAAGAAACATTGTTTTAACACATTCTTTAGGTGGCTTCACATACATTTAAATTTGAGAATCATAGCACTAGAGAATTCCAATCAGAAAATTGATTAAACCTGCAAGCACAGAAATTTTTTGAACCTCACCATTGGCTATTTTAGAAAGCATCTGAACAAGAAGGAGCAAGAAGGCTATAGGCAGACTGTTTGGGCAAGAAAGGCAGTGGAAGGTCGGACGTCCCCCATGCCCACCAGCATTCTGTCACTGCTGCAGGCCACGCCTAACAAGATCCTTCAGGGATGAACCGCAGGCTGCCCGATTAGACTTGTGTCTTCATGGCCCAAAGTTATTTTTGAAATTCAATTGGTTGCCTCATTATTTTTATAAAATTGGTAAGGGGAGGTTGGTGGGGGAGGAAGTAGAATGCATTACAATCTTAGTCATCAGATTCACTTTCTTTGCATTTGCAGAGCTATAATGGAGCACAAGGAGCTGTTAAAGGTGCCCTGGGATTGGCAAATAGGTAAGGAGTTTGCTCGCCTGAGATGTAACCTTTAGTTACATCTTTTTAGTAACCTTGAGAAATGTGTTGAAAAGAGTGATGTGGGTGGGCATGGGCCACAAACAAGGAAGGGATTTAGAGTGGCAGGGAACAAAAGAAAATAAAATCCCTTTGTCATTTTAGGAATTCCTGCACACTGTGAAAGACTGAATTGTCTGATTCATAATGTTTCCTAATTGAGCTTCTGCCCATTATCATCGTCAAGATGCCATTAGGGTAGACACAGAAGTATGTTATTAGGTTAAAGACCAACCAGAAAGAAAAAATGCCCTGAGGCAGTGGTAGCTCATAAATGACAGCAATTTGCTCCATCCAAGAAACATGAAACTGATGTGATCATTAAAAAGTGGCAGTTTAGTAGAGGGAAAAAAACTGAACTTAACAAAAAGGCATGAAAAGAAACAATGTAATAGGCATTCTGAGCCCATAAAAACCTTTTCAGAAGGGAGCAGTTGGCCCACAAGAAATGGTTAATTGATCTCCAAATGGACTTAGAAAATACCAGACAACTTTGAGCTAGTTAATAGACATCCAGGGCATCTCATATTCCACCTGTTTCTAAAATCACTTTTCTCTAAAATGTTTAGGACAAGGATCTAAGATCTAGGTGATGCTATAATGATTGATCACACAGTAAGACCTAAAAAGGACTGACATTTCATACCCCCAAAAGTTATCCCCTCAGTGTCTATTGAGACGCATGGGTCCCAGCTGTGAGCACAGAGCTCAGCTCATGGAGGTGCTTGGAAAATGTGCACAGAATGAGTGCAAATGAGGGTGAAAGTAGAGATGGTGCCACACGCTCGGGCTGGCTGCCTGTGCCACCTCCAGCTTACGTGAGCTTTGTTTTCTGTTTTGTTTTCTTTTCTTTTTTAATTTCTAATTTTTATGTATTGTATTTTTATTTTTTAAATGTTTCATGCATATTTATGTGGTACAGAGTTGACTATCAGTATTTGTGTACAGTATGTGATGATCAAATCAATATTATTAGCATGTTCATCATTACAAATCGTAGTTAATTTTTGTGCCCTCTCCCCCCTCCCCCTCCCCCTTTCCTACCTTTAGTAACTATTCGTCTGTTCTCTCCTGAAAGTCCAACATTTTATAATGGTCTTTCTTTCCTTCTTTCTTGTCCACTTATGATTGAGGACATGCAGTATTTCTCTTTCTGTGTCTGGCTTATTTCACTTAACGTAAGTTTCTCCAAGCTCCAACATGTTGTTGCAAAATGGCAGAATTTCATTCTTTTTTATGGCAGAATAGTATTCCACTGTGTATATATGCCACATTTTCCTTATCCAGTCATCTGCTGATGGACATTTAGGTTGGTTCCACATCTTGGCTATTGTAAATAGAGCTGTGATGAACATGGAGTGCAGGTTTGGTATAACTGACAACTTCAGTCAAATTCTGCATCCTCAAGGAAGGGCAACAATGACAAAAACTCCCCTGCATCACGTCACCTACCCCTGTCCTCTGAGCTCCTAAGCTCTGGAAGACTCCTTGCTCCCTCTGAAGGCATGCTGCATACACTAGGAGCTGCAGAATTACGCTTGACCCTCCTTAAAGGTTATTTCTAGTTGCTTCCTGTGCTGACCAGCCCTTGTGTCTGTCACAGAGTCCTGCCATTTAATTTCTTTTTAGTTTTGCTAGAGAATGTTACAATTAAATGAAAACTAATAGAGGGGAGGGGCTAGGGAGAGAAGAGGAGGACAGCTGGGAAAGAAAGCCAGCTGCAAGTTATGGAAGCATTTGCCTTTGTGACCCTCAAAGCCAGGAAACAATGTCACCGTGCTTGGTAGCACTTCACACACAGTGGTCCAGGAGTATAAATTAATTTGGTATTGATGGTCATAGCAACGATCAAAAAGAATTTGTCCTCTAATTATGTCGATGTCATGTGTACAACCACGAAGGTTCTTTTATAATTCAGTGTTAGTTAAACCTGTCATCAAAAGATGATTGTATTCTGAGCTCTCATATTGCCATTAAAATGTCAGACCTCTGTGGTCCAAGATGATGAAGGGCAGTGTGAAAGGAACACATTACAGAGCCATCCATTTAATTCCTGAGTGGAAATGAGGCCAAAATGGCCTAGAAGGGGAGACAAATATTCATCCTTTTCTTTCTGAAGCATTTGTAGGGTTGGGTTTGAAATTTTTTTTTTTAAGACCAGCGCCACCTTTGTCCTCATGATCTCACCCTGACCTTGTACAACGTTCTATTGTTTAGCTAAATTCTAGGCACATAGCATGCAGTGAATACATGTTTATCAAATGAGCGAGTGAATGAATGGCAAGCAGAGAAGAGGGGGCCTGTGCTGCCCTCTGTCATTTCACAAGACACAGACAAAAGGCAACCGTGGGGACAATGGCAGGAGACTTTAGACTGTATGTTGCACTTGCTTTCTGGGGAACTGGTAGATGGCATAGCAACCACTGTAGCTCACGGACCAAAGAGTCAGGGAGACCTCCAGGGAGGGTGAGCATCTTCTCAACCTCCCCGCATACCTGAAAAGTCACCCAACAGTGCCAAGCTCCCATTGCTGTGTCCTGGTGGAGCTCACATTGTTTTAGTTAAGAGACCAGAATCCAAAATGGTCTTCGTTTCTGTGATCTATCAAGAAGTTTATCTCCCTTCTCTCCCTCCACCTCAGTAATCTACCTTATACAATCTTTTGGACAGCTCATGTGGTTGCCATGTTATCAAAGTAAAAAGATTTTTTTTTTCCCTATGGGGTAAATGGGATAATAAATATTTTTATATTTTTCTTAATTGGAAGGCACTTTCTAACAGATTCTGTTATTTTTCTATAACATTGGCCAATTGCAAGATACAGAGTAATTAAAAGCAAAAAGATGATAGTTATTGTTGTTTGTTTTTATTTCTTTGTTCTACTCTACTGAGCAGAAAGATGGATTGTGATTATCCAACCAGTAAGCTCAAGTAGAACTTATGACCTGGTACAGCTACAATGTCCTCCTGGGGAGCAGAAATGTTAGAAATCTAATAAATAACTTAAACATTCCCTTTGTCCCATTTGCCATATTGTGTTAGAGGATGTGTGAACATAAGCTGCTGTGAAAGTAAAATGTCACAGGAAAGAAGACGTGTGCAGTGTGTCAGCAGACACGGGCTTGCGGTGTGTAGGGGCTTTGCCGCTTTGGATATTGTGGTTGATGCTTGTTTTGGTTTGGGTTTTGGTTTTTTTCCTGGAGGTCAAAACAAGAGATTATGCCTTTCCCTGAAGATGAAATAATGGGACCACAGAGCAGGAAGAACCTTGAAGATAATTAAGAATACGCCTGTCTTCTCGCTGATATTGTACCTGAGGCCTGTGGAGATGAGATGACATGGCTAGGCTGACAGCTGCCTGTGGTGGGACTAATTTGCCCTCTGAGCAAACCCAGCCAGCCTCGTGCCCTGCATAGACTTAGCTTAATGCACATGTTCAGAGAAGTCATCTCACCCACCCGTTATGCTTGAGAATTAAAAATAATATTTTATAAAGCTAGTATATTCAAAGGAAGAGAAAGACAATACCCAGTTGTCTTTCAGTGGGGTGTAAAGAAGGAGATGAGATAAAATATACGCAGCATATACAGACGCATACTATATACATATATGTGTCACATCTACATCTCATATGTAGAAGACATGTTCATTAGAGTTCAATGGGATGCTCCTTCAAAGCCTCATTTCTCTTCATAATAACTAAACAATATTGAAGAGTAGAATGTCCTCAGACTTTAAGGTCACATAGCCTGTGTGACCTGAGGGCGAGTTACTCACCCTCCACGTGCTCATCTTTCGCCTGTTTGCTCACAGATCCATGTCTTCTACTCTTACTCTGCTCTGCTCATGCAAACTCCACCTCACAGGCTCCTTTGTCAGGGGGCTTCCGGCTAGTTTGGGTCAATGGAAGGCACTAGAGGGAGATTGGAGATGGGAGAAAGAAGGAAACCAGAGTGTGTCTCCCTGTTTTTCTCTGCTTGGGGTTAGGTCCCTAGAAATGGCTGGGTCTCCTCGGTGGTTCTACTCCAGCTGGGCTTCCTGACCTCCTGACCTGTGTTAACAAGGCCTTCTTCCTGTGTCTCTCTTACTCTTGGAGAGTGAGTAACTCATGGCTATTGCTAATTTCTGGGTGGCCTCACCATCCTGTTTCCCCGTCACCCATTCAGAAACCTTTGTACTTTGTGCTCCATATTAAATTCCCTCTAATGAACCTGGTATGGAATGTGTGTCTTGACTGATACTGCTCTATAAACCTATTTCCTTACCTGCCTATACAGGATAACCATAGTAACGGCATTATACTGTTGTGGAGATTAGTTGATGTATATGAAGAACAAGATACATAGTAAGTGCTCATCAGTATCAGCTGATGGTATTATTTCCATTCTCTTTAGCTTAAATCTCTTTAATGCATGAGGACAAGAGCGACCAGATTCTATCCTTAGAGAGAGAAAGCATTTCAAATAGGAAATGGCTATGCACACACTCTATCAATGTAGTCACTACAGCCATTATGTAGCTGTCACTCAAAAAGTAATTCAGTTCATTTGTTTAGTCATGTTGATCAATTGAAAACCCTCCATGGACAGCAAGCTGGGCCTTCAGATGCATTGCTAATGTCCATTAACTATCTAATGTCCATCCAAGCACAGCAAATCTGCCAAGTGCGGCACTGCTGCATTCCAGCTCTTGATTTCATCATGTTCATTTGGCTGACGATGATTTGCTTACAAAACAAGGATATTCACACACCAAAACATTGGTTGATCAGCTGTGGTGGTGTGTGTATTCTACCCTCATCTCCCTATATCTAATTTCTGCACCTTTTAAAGATGTATTTAGAATGTTTAGGCTAGAAGTGTCCTGAGATAGCTTGATTCCTAGAGTGAAAGTCTACTATGTACAAGGGTCTTCAAAAAGTTATGGAAATATTTGTATTATCTTTTTTCCACAAACTTTTTGAAGTGCCCTGGTATCTATTTTCCTACTTTCCTTGGCTCACTAATTGGGCTTGTAAAGTAACACCTCTTCTCTGAGTCCTCAAGTTGCATATTCAGCTCCTACTGGACACATCCCCTTGGATGATGCATAAGCATCTAAAACTTAACACATTCAAAATGGAGCTATTTCCACTGGAAACCTGGTCCTTCATTAGTTCTCTCCACCTCAGTAAATGGTGCTGCAAATCACCCCATTTCTGAGTTAGCCAGAATTCATGGGCATTCCCGATGCCCTCCTTTCCTGCACTGCCCACATGCAGTCTATCACCAGGGCTTGCTGAATCTTCACAGACCTGGCCACTTCCCTTCTCCACTGCCATGCTGAGCAAACCAAGCAAACCACCAGCCTCTCTTGGACTATGACACTACACTTCCATGCTTTCCTCCTCCCAGTTCCTTCTCCACAGGGTAGCCAAAGCCATCTTTTAAAAATGTAGACCAGGATACATTAGTCACCTGCTACCGACTCCTCAATGGCTTCCTATTATAACGAGAATAAGATATAAATTTCTTTCTAAGACCTACAAGACCTGACATAATTCACCCCCTTCCTAATTTCCCAACCCTTCCCTTGTCACTGCTTGTTTTGTTCATTCTGCTCAGCCGTTCTGGACAATGGCAGCTCCTGGAAAACTTCAAGCCATCCCTTCTCAGGTCTTTTCATGTGCAGATCTCCCTGCCTAAAACATTCTTTCCCTGGCTCCTCCAGTGGCAATCTCCTTTTAGTCCTTCAGCATTCAAGGTAAAAGCCTCCTCCACATAGCAGCCTTACATAACCACCCTTCCTAGAGCAAGACCCTGCCATTCTCTGTAGGGAACCCTTTTCTTCCTGTGTCACACTGATAGCAACTCTAAGCTGCTTGGCTGTCCTTTCTTCCTTGCACTCCTAGCCCGTAGCAGAGTGTCTAAGGCACAGTAGGTTCTCAGGCAAGAATGGTTGAATAAATGAGTGAATGTAAAACATCAGAGCCCAAAAGTCAGAGCTCACACAAGGTGTGCTAGGTAAGATGATGGAAGGGTAGGATTCTGGAACTTTCTAGCTCAGTCGTGATATGCTCTAAATCAGTGATGCCATTATAGGAAAAAAAAAGTCTCTGGTGCTTGGACCATGTTCTGATCAAATTTGATTATTTTTAGTGAATTAATTTAAGAATAGATCTTGTCCCTACTCTGTTAATTACATATTTCTTTAAGGAATACCAAATTACTTTTTATGTTTTTTCATGTATTAATCAAAGGTTATATAATATTTATTGAATTAGTAACTTGGTTAAGAGAAAAACCCAAGTCCAGGAAACCCAAGTACAGGAAAATTGGCCATTATTTAAATTTTTAAATACAATTTCTGATGGAGCATCAAAAACTGTCTGATATGACTGTGACAGAATATAGACATCAGGACTTTTTTCTCACTGAAATAGGAAAGCAGTGGTTCTGTCCTCCTCTCAGGGCATGTCCACCACACTAGAGGGGGCTGTTGTACTGTTTGCTTACTTAACGTTCACAGTGTTTTATATAGATCTGATGTGGCTTTCCTTAGACTTAAGATCAGCAACATATAGAATAATGATTTGTGCCCTTAAGGACTTTTCGTATGGGCAAACCAGATTTCTCTTTGGAGTAATCACTATTCTTCTTAGTCAGAGAGACTGGATATCCAGTACCTACCAAATCCTCCAAAAGTCACAGAATTCAGAGGAAGCAATCTCCCCACGGCCCACACTGGATACACGTAATCAAGGATTCCTTTGGAAAGGTTACTTTATTACATCGCAATGCCCCCAAAATTGTATTACTTATGCTTGTCTCATTCTTTCAGGGTAGAGAAATGAGCATCATTTTTCTACATTTGCATTGTATCAACATCTGGAAAAAGATGAACCAAAGTGTAGATGTGAGAGCCGGCCCGGTGGCGCACTGGATAAGTGCGCCACTTGGGAAGTGTGGCGGCGCTCCCGCCGAGGGTTCGGATCCCACATACAGACCGGTTCCCGCTCACTGGCTGAGCGAGGCGCGGGAGCAACGCCGAGGGTTGCAATCCCGTTGTTGGTCCCCGGTCCGGTGCGGGGGCAACACTGAGGGTTGCGATCCGTTGCCGGACACGGAAAAAGACAAAAAAAAAAAAAAGTGTAGATGTGGCTGTAAGCTCCTGCTTGGGTCCCTACAAAACTGAGTACCCATGGAAGTGGTATTAACAATTATGTGCCTAGGTAAAATTGTAATAGAGAGGAAGAGAATTTTTGAGGATGAGAGACTGACCATATAGCATTTTAAAGGCATTGGAGTCCACATGTGACAGTTCACGGTGTGCTAGAAAAGGTGGCGGGAGGGTAGGACTCTGTTGGGGGTAGGGCTGAACAGAATTCATGGATCTGGAAGAAATTGACAGACGGTGCTGTGTTCAGAGCGGTGAAGTGGTCTGCCCAAGGTCACACAGTTAGGATTCCAATTCAGGATGCTAAGTCCAGATCTCTTTGAAATGTAAGCCCTTCGATTTTAAGGACTGTGGAGTTATTCATCATTGCGAGCAATATATGATACCAAGCAGTTTTGTTCTTATTTTGCAAATAAAAAAACTAAGAGTTTTTTAAAAAAAATTTAAATATATGAATAGCAAGAGTTAATTACAGCACAGTTGGGCATAGAATTCAGAAGCCTCTGAATATAGCCACTAAGAGGCACTCCTTCCCAGAAGAAGCAAAATGTCAGCTACATAGTGAGAAGCAGAAATTTTATTCTCCACACACATATTTTGACTTTTGATTTTATGTCTTAGCTATGTGTTACCCAATAATATATATATATCAGTTTATACAGTAATAGAAAATCCACCTTTTGTAAGAGAGAGATGGCACACACTATTTCCCTTCTTTGTCTGACTGTGGATGCTGAAGATCCTCCTGTCCTGGAGGAGGCCTGACATTGTCCTTTCTTCGCTGTCTCCCCAGGACTGCTCTATGTTGGCTTCAGTGCCTGCATGTTTGGTCTCTACAGCTTTATGCCAGTCGTCATAAAGAGAACCAGCGCCACTTCGGTTAATCTCTCTCTACTCACAGCGGATTTGTACAGCCTGTTCTGCGGGTTGTTTCTCTTCCACTACAAGGTAAGTTGAGTCAGGGCCTCTTTGTGAAGATGACGCTTTGTAGGAAATAACACATACAGGTAGGGATGCCCGAATGTGGAATGCCCTGATTTTGTGTGCTCACCCCATGATACGGGTATTCACATTTCAGCTCTTAGGCAACATGTCCTAAGAAACCAGTAACTATGGACAATTGATAGCAAAAGATAAAGAAACAGCCATAGAGGAAAGGGCTTTTGGATACTGGGGGACAGTTTTTCAGATACCACTCAGCCCAGAAGCTACTTTTTCTAACTTGAAGCTAGGAAGATTCGTACAATTCCCAAACTACAACACAAAATGGATTCTTCCAAAGGCATTGGCAGAGTATGTTCTCTTTGGAGAAATAACACAAGTTTTGCAGTTTCCACTTTGCAGATATTTTTATAGCAAATGTAAATGAGAAATGCTATTGCAGTAGAAATTGTTTCTTTACCAAAAGACTGGGGTTTGAGTAAAGGAATGCAAAGAGATATTGTGAAGCACTTGCAGTTAATGTGTCAGCCCTGAAGAAAGGAAGAGACTATCCAGTCCAAAGTTGGCAATCTCTTAGAATGCAAGACTCTACCCACGTGTTCACCCAAGGCAGGCAGGACTAATTGACTATGGCACACCAAGGTCAGATGCTATTCTTCTAAACACCATACTCACTGCAGCCATTGACAATCAGCTAGAATTGGTATATGAGAAGAGACCCACTTGCCATTCCTTAACTAGTCCAGTAAGGTAAGGGTCAATGGGGACTATGACCTGGTGTAAACAGGCCAAGTATGGAACATCCAAGCAGATAAGACCAAACTAGGACAGGCAAAAGAAGAAAAGGCAGAAGAAAAGTGATGCTACTCTGGCTACTTCTAGCCAAGTGCTTCACCGGTAGTATTATAGGTAACAATCACCAGCACATGGGTGTGGCCAGCTGATGGGGCACCATGGTGGGCAGAGCATCTTCAACCATGTGAAAATAGGCTTGGAGGTTCTTGGAGAAATGATGAGCTGGAAGAGTGGGTACTTGAGATGACCAGAGGCAAATCAGCTGAAGTGAATAATCAGAATTATTATTGAGAGAGGCCAAAGTCTCAGACAAGAAACAGACTGAGAAGGGTGGATGAGGGTGGAAAAGAGATCACAAACAAGGCTCCTTAGTAGGTGGGAGGATCAGAAACAGATCTGGAAGACTGGGAAGCTTGAGAAAGTGGTTGTGGCAGTAGACAGGGATAATATCTCTGCCCCCTTCCCCACCAGTATTTTTGAGGTATAATTGATGAATAAAAATTGTATATATTTAAGGTGCATGATGTGATGGTTTGATATAAGTATACATCATGAAATGATTATGACAGTTGAGATAATTAATATATCCATCGCCTCACAGTTACCATTTTTCTGTGTGTGTGTGTGTGTGTGTTGAGAATAGTTAAGACCTACTTTCTCAGCAAATTTCAAGTATACCGTACACTGTCATTAACTATCATCACCGTGTTATACATTAGATCTCCAGAACTTGTTCATCTTATAACTGAAACTTTGTATCTTTGACCAACATCTCTCCATATCCCCCACAACTTCCTATTTTAAATGAAGTCTTTCATCTAGTGTAGTGGCAAAAATGACATCTTAAAAAAACTGTCTACGACTGGACAATGTTTATTGTTTGTAATTTTTGTTTCTATAGTGCAGTCTGTTTCCTGAGCTCATCCTGGTTCTCATAAGGTAAAATTAAGGTCACGATACGTTCCTCTCAGGCCACTCCTGACCACAGCGCTGGGAGGACCAACTTCCTTCAAAATCTCCCTCCAATAATTTTCCAGAGCCCTAGAGACCCCTGGCCATGGTCTCATTGCTACAGCAGAGTGGCCAACATTTTTCTTCTCTCCTCTTCAGGGAAGCATCTGCATCTAGTTCATGTCTTAGTACAGTTCTTAATACAGTGAGTATAGTTCTCAGCAATTAATCCTGTAATTCGCTTTATAAGCTCCAAAAATAAAAGAATTCCTTTAATCTTCCATAAAGAAAGATGACTGAAACCCGTTGTTCTGGTTGAAGACTGTGATCACTTCTTGGGTAGTCCAAACCCAGTCAAGCTCTCAGCATCCCTTATAGCGGCATTCCAGAAAGCCTGGTTTCACCAGGGTGCTCACTAAAATTGCAGATTCAGAGGCCATTCCCCAGAGCCACAGAATCAATATCTGGGGGAAGTCTGCATTGTTAACAGGCTCCCGCATGAGTCTGCTTGATGGTCTCTGAATTTGAGAACCACTGTTTGTGGGGAGGGTACCTGGACAGTGCCCATTCCTATTTGATTCTGTCACTTCTCACACTTCCGCTGACTTTGGTTAGACCTGGGATTCCTCACATTTACAAGCATCAGGAACTGAGAAAGCTGATGAATCAGGTAAATTCTAATTCTCCACAACCCATCCTCTCCTCCCATCATCTGTATGTTACTACTTTCTTAGAACAAGTGACTTTGCTGAAGAGGAAACCATGTAGCGACCTTTGTCAAGCCATCAGAAGGGAAGCTGTGTTACCTGAAAATTAAATTCCTGGATTCCCCAATTTAGAGATGTAATGGATACTTTTGTTTCTTAAAGCAATTTTTTTACTATATACATAAATTTTGCTACTGTTTGAAAGGTAAATAAATTTCCTTAAGACAGGAATTGGTCCAACACAGTAGGTGTTTTTTCTAGTTACAGTTGATTCACATTGTTTTTTCTTTAATTAAAATTTTAAGGTAATTGTAGATTCTCATGCAGTTTTAAGAAATAGTGCAGAGAGATCCAATTTACCCTTTACCCATGGGTAGCATCTTGTAAAACCATAACATAGTGGCAGGATATTAACATTTATACAGTCAACATCCAGAACATTTCCTTCACCACAAGGACTGCCTATGTTGCCTTTTTATAACCACGTCTGCTTCCCTCTCACACACCTCCCAGTCCCTCAAAACCACTTATTTGTTCTCCATTTCTATAAATGTGTCATCTCAAGGATGTCATGTAAATGGAATTACAGGGTACATAACGTTTTGGAATTGACTTTTTTCACTCAGCACAATTCTCTGAACATTCCTTCAGGTGGTTGCCTATATTAGTAGTCTTTTGTTTGTTAGTTTGTTGTTTTTATCACTGAGTAGAATTCCATCGTGTGGATGCACCACAGTTTATTTAACCATTCACCTGGTGAAGGACATCGGGTTGTTTCTATTTGGGGCTATTATAAATAAATCTGTTGTTCCTATTTTGGGCTATTATAAATAAATCTGAACATTCATGAACAGGTTTTTGTGTGAACAGAAGTTTTTATTTCTCTAAGATAAATGCCCAAGAGTACAATTGCTGGGTTGTATGGTCATGATGTGCTTAGTTTTATAAGAAAATGCCAAACTATTTTCCAGAGTGATCTATTATCTTTTATTACAAAGGAATACATATTCATTGTGAGAAAGTTAGAAAATGCGGAGAAGTGCTCTATACTCATACATCAGTACCATTTTACAGTGCATGTATATTTCTACAGTGCACATATACTTTATAGTTCATATATATTTTAATTACACTATGCATGGTTTTACCACATGCTTTATTTAAACTTAACAGTGTGTGTATATATATATATATATATTTCCATGTAATTTAATATCTCTTTATATTGTGAGTCTAAATTAGTGGTTTTCAACTATGGCCATACATTACAATCCTCTAGAAAGAATATAAAACATAGGCATGCCCAGATCCAACCCCAGAGAGTCTGGTCCTGATTGATTAGGAGTGGGGACTTTTAAAAGCACTTCAGGTGATTTACCACGTATCCTAATATACAGCCAGAGTTGAGAACCTGATCTACAAGATTATTTTAATGGCTGTATAGTATTCCGTGCAACAATTATACTTTAACCCAGGATTTCTCAACGATAGCACTGTTGAGATTTTAAACCAGATGATCCTTTGTTGTGAGGGGCTGTCCTCCGCATTATAGGATGTTTATCAGCATCCCTGGCTTCAACCCACTAGATGTCAGTAGCATCCCCCCAGTAGTGACAATCAAAACTGTCTTCACACATTGCTAAATATTGAGAACTGCTGACTTAAAAATCCCTAATTATTGAATTCGGGTAGTATCTCTATTTGGCTAATATACGTAATTTGGAGAATTAGCATAGTAAATCTTTGCTCAGATCCAATGTTTTTGTGTTTTTTTAATAATTTTTAAGGGCCGGCCCGGTGGCGCACTGCTATAGTGCGCTGCTTGGGAAGCGCGGCGGCGCTCCCGCGGAAGGTTTGGATCCCACGTACAGACCAGTTCCCGCTCACTGGCTGAGCGAGGCGCGGGAGCAACACCGAGGGTTGCGATCCATTGCCGGACACGGAAAAAGACAAAAATAATAATAATAATAATAATAATTTTTAAATAAATCTAATGATTGAATTTTTCATTTCTAATGTGAAACAAAAACCTTTAAAATAATTTTAAAATCCTATTGAGGAACCAGAAACACTGCATAGAGGCAGCAGATGCAAAGCCCTGTTAATATTATGGCAACCAATGTGAGTACATAGACAAAAGCTGTATTTCTCCTTCCTTTTCATTCTCATTATACTTACAATTGGCACCACATAACTTAGTTCTTGAATAAACACTGCCTTGTATTGTCTTCTAATTGTTTTATGAACAATAGTACTTAATAGTTGCAAATAAATAAGCTAAATATTTTTCTAATTAAAATATTTAAAAATTTTTTTAACTTTTTTTTTTTTTTTTTTTTGCCTTAAACAGTTTCTAAAAGACTGTTCCAGGCAATGCTTGAATTTGTAATCAAATAGTCAGTGTTTGGAAAATTCAGGATTTTTCTCAGGGGTCTGCTTGCCTGCTTCTGAAGTTGGCTTTGGGCTCTACAGACGAGGACCAGAGCAGGGGAGAAGGGCAAGACTGAGGGCCTCCCAGGATGCCCACCAGCCTGATGGGCCGTCTCAGAAAAT